TATATATAATTTATTTACGTGTTTAGTTTTATCTCTTATCTCTTTAGTCTTAAGTTTTAGCTTACTAAATTATGTATTCGTGAGCTGATGCTCATAATGATTAAAAAATATATGATTAAATTGTTAAAAGTTAATTGAAAATTCAAAGAGGTATTAGTTATTGATTCATAAAGATTGTTCTTTATTTTTTATTTACTATATATTGAGTGAACTGATATCTTCACTTATTTCCACTTGTTTTCTGCTTAACATAAATGATTTTTGAAACAATAATGAAGGAAATTTGGATCTATCAATTTAATCATTGTTTATCTGATAAACATGTTAAAATACCTGATATAATCATAAATAGTATTCGAAGTTATGAAACAGTTTAGTACTGATTTTGGTGACAGATGTTTTCTTTTTATTTCACTAAATACACGAATATTTGGGATTTATTACTATTACAGAAAAGAGAGAATTGAAATGAAAATATTTGCACAGCAGGCTTATCAATTTGGATAAAAACAAAAGCGCCAAATTGGGTTTTCTGAATGTTTTACATCATTTTGCTAATTTTTTAAAATATATTAGTTTCACGGGTTTTTTGCTGATTTTTACGGATTTAATGATTTACTAAAATAAATTACCATTGTTATTGAAATTTCATATTAGCACAAATCATTTTAATGAGTGTTCAAAAAAATTTATAATTTCTTCTCAACAAATAATTTAAGCAATTATTTATTGACATACCTATGATAATGTGTAAAATTTTTGAATAATTATGTAAGAGAAAGAGATAATTATCTAAATGAGTGCGTTATAGGAAACGAAAATATGGTTATATCCTATAATTTAGACATTCCCACAGCATCTATATTTGCATTCCTCAAATTACTATTTCGCTGGAAAGCAAGCATATGGAAAATTGTCCTGAAAGAATTATTCATTTGGACAATTTTGTATTTGCTTGTTACTTACTATTATAAATCAGGCTGGTTTATGAGTCAACAGATTGAAAGGTCATTTTATTGAAGTTTTTAATCCTCATATATATAATGTGAAGCAATTTTAAGAGTTTTCTACTTCGTTAGTAGATCACTTTTGGCTAATAAAGTGAAGATGCAAATGTACTATTGGAAATACAGAAATTGTTTAGTGATTTCCAATCGTTGAAATTACCATGATTTAGTGATCTTAAATAGTGATATGATTTGTATTTATGATGATGTCGGACTCTTTATAATGATTATTAATTTAAAGCTATAATTAAGAATATGATTAAATATTGTCCAGTTTAATATATCATTAGATGATTGGGAAATGAGAAATATTCCTTATCAATTCAATCTTCATTAAAAAATAAAAGCAGTTCAGTGTATTTGCACGAACTGCAGTATACTTTGGGAACTATTTGAATCGTAGTAATCTCATATTTATTTTGGGCTTTTTCGTTTCGTCCGTTGCTACACGATGGAATGTTTTACTACAAAACATTGGTTTCATCGAAAGGTTTGTTATATTTTTGCTATGTGAATATTATTTATTGATGCAATTTTGTTATTTCTTCAAGAATATCATACAAGAAACATGAGTATGCTAATTTCTTAATTTTAATTTCATAATTATTTCCGCTCTCTTATATTTATTGTTTGATTTATTGATGGATAAAAATTCAGCTTGGCACTATTTATTAGTGTATGTATACACGGGGAGGATGAAGAATCTCGAATGTGTCGTCGAACTATTGTGCGAAATGCCTGTTTGGCGCAATGTTTGGTACTTCGGGATATTAGTGTACGCATTCGAAAGCGCTTCCCTACAATGAATAGTTTAGTAGAAGCTGGTATTTGTGTTTTTCATTACTTCAGAACCAAAGCACATTTATTCCCTTGCATCCATAAATGACAAAACGTGATTGTAGAAAAGAAAAGCGTAGGAAAATGAACCGGATAGTTCAAGTTCTCTTACGGTTTACAATATTGAACTATTTTTATATAATAAACGCTTTTTTCTTTCATAATTCATCATTGATTTCTTACATAAAAAATAATTTTGCAGGATTTATGACGAAGAATGAACTAGAAAAATTCGAAAGCTTTGAAATATCATACGATAAGTATTGGCTACCAATAACTTGGTCAATGACACATGTGCTGGACGCTAGAAGAAGCGGTAAAGTGATGAATGATTTAGAAACAATCAAACTTATCGATGTTAGTACAATTTTATATTTTTATGCTATAAAGAATGGATTCTGATGAACTTTTTTCATTCTTTCAGGAACTGAAATCCTTCAGAGAATGCCTACAGACATTAACAAATTATGATTGGGTACCTCTACCTTTGGTCTATCCTCAGGTATTCCAACAGATTATATCATTCTTCTTGTTATTAGTCCATAATTATGCAATATAAATTAATAAGTTTCAAAAAATGGATAAATCTGAAATCATAATCGCAGGATTGAATCAGTCGACTTTCCCACGATAATTGTAGGATATGAGTCGGAATAGCCAAAGTACCTCATACCATTCATCTCACTACCGATTACTCGTCACCTAAAAAGAAACTTGATACTACCATCAAAGCGTTTCTTTCCAAACTACCCGCTAGCTAAACTATTAAGGATTAAATCGTCTTTATTCAGCCAGTATGGTAGTATTTCATCGGTTTCCTTCAAATTTCTGGTGATATAATGGCTCGTAATACTTTTTTTCAATAAAACTTGATTTAATTTGATCTATTGCCATTTCCGTAATGATAAGAAATCAGATAAGTTTTTGTAATACATTGAAATGGATTAAACGTTGAAAATTTTCAGGTGATAACCATATCTGTCTACTTTTATTTTATTGTGTGCCTCTTCGCAAGGCAACATTTCAGAGCAGCTGTTACGAAGAATCTCGAATTTCACGTATGTTATCATCATGGATTTTCAAATGACATGCCATGTGTTGTGAAGCAACCTTTGTCTCCATATAAAATTTCTTGATGTGATGTAATCAAAGCAACAGCGAAATATTGAAAAGATAATGAGGTTTCTAAGAAGACTAGCTGTAATTTCAAAGACTATTAATTTCGGATGGAATGCAAAATTGCAAAATTCAATTTATAATAGTAAGGACTATTATGAACAATTGTTTTTACAGTTCGATATGGTGTTGCCCGTGATGACAATGGTCGAATTTCTATTTTATGTCGGGTGGATGAAAGTAGCAATGAATTTACTTAATTCATTTGGTGAAGATGATGATGATTTGGAGTGCAATTTTTTCATCGACAAGAATCTCGCCGTGTGTTTACTTCAGTCGAACTGAAATATTCATTATTGGCATGTATAATTAGAAATATAAAGTTACGTAGACAGAATCCACGTCTCGCATCTGATTTCAAGAAGGGGCAATAGCTAGTATTAATGAGACAGCATAAAAAATAAATGAAAGATTAAATCGAATGATTAAATGATCTTTCATAAATGAAAGATTAAGTGGAATGGTTGGGTGATTCTTTCAGATGACAACGTTAATAATATCATCAAAGAACGTATTATAAATGATATTAGATTCACACTTGGATGTTATATTCATGAAGTTCGGCCTTTAATGATGGGATAGTTTTAAGTTCAAAGTTTTGTCTTTTCAGACTGGTTTATGTATCGTCGATATATGTCGCAACGCTGTGCCGAATTTGCACTCATCATCATTTTCGGGATCTTTTGAAAAGTTGTAACTCGATTTGTTTAGAAATAGCGAAAATTGGTGAAGATTTTGTTTCTTCTCAAAGAATTGAGGTTATATTTTATTGTTAGCGCACAATGGGATTAACAAAATTAAAATGAAATAATCTAAATTTAAGAATCAAGCAATTTGCTTTATAACAACCATTCAGAATTCATTAATTAAAACAATTAGTATTAGTAGAGCAGAGGATGACGTTAGATATTTCAATTGCCAGAACTATATATAGAAGGGCACAGAAATGATCTATCCCTCAATGCATTTAATGATTTTTTGATTGATTTATAAAGCATTTTAACAACTGGTGTAATGATTGATATCGATTTGAGGCAATGTAAAATCAACTATTCATATTATATTTCAATATATTTTAAAACAGAGTGAAAAGATAAATTGTATGAAGGTGTAATATGTATGTCCACACAAATATTCCTACCAGTCAGAACTTATTATTTCATTCATAAAATTATTGAGTTAACCGAAAAATAATAGATTCTGCCGTTATAGTTTGCATTTCCCTCAAAGGCTTTATTACCACTTCTCCATATATCTCACAGAAATTGGAGTATATACTAAACTCATGATTATGAGACTCAAAATTCTCGCAATAATGCATTCCTCTGTCGCAGACAAAATGCTTTATGATTCATAAAAAGTTCAGGCTTTAAAAAATAGATCAAAATATAGACCACAAGTTAAGTACCTTCCTAAAATTAATTGTTGCTAGTGCCCTAGATTTGCCGTTCCAGAGTTTTATCGTTCCGACGCTTTTCAAATGTGCTGAAGGAATTCAATCCATGTACTACATACAACATGTTGGTAGTGTTTTCGAACTGTCCACAATCTAAACCAAATATTACCAACTTCTGCATTTTTCCGATGTTTCATATTTTACATGGTTTTGTACCCTTGAATGAATACCAGAAATTGGATTACCTCAAATACTGAAGATGGCCGTTATAGCAAACGGAGATAAAAGCGAAGAGGAGTTATGGTGGTGATGACGAACGGATTGGATAATTTAAGGAATAAATAACTGTTTCGGAAGATTACAAAATTCAGATTGTGCAATTAGGTACAAGGTTTAAGATGTGTTGCAAGTTAAACAATAGCACGAAATCACTTGATTCGATGCTCAAGACCTGACAGTAAGCTGTCACGTTGAAGCTGTAATCTGTGATTTCATGTGTCGAGATGATACGTTTCCCAGCGAAGACGGAGTATACCCATAAATATACACTCGTAAATACATTACCATCATATCTATCCTTTCAAAAAATTGAATAGAGTTACTGTCTGTACGCCAACAGAAATAACGTACTATTGAACACCGGAAGAAACATGATCTAAAGAAATATCCTCTTTAATGGATTTTTCCGAAAATCTGGGTAACAACTTAACGTAACCGTGAAGATATAGTACGAGCCAAGTAAACACAATGGTTGAACTTCCCCGAAGCTAAGCATTTTCTTTCTACAACTATCGAAATAACTTCTACTACTGTACCATTAAATCTTTAATAAACAAGCAAATTTACTGTTCCCAAAGACATAAATTCGTACCGGAAATATCAATTATTAACTTATAATCATATGAAGCTTTATTCAGCGCTATTGGATAAACATCATATACATAGAAGGAAATCGTTTACTTGCAGCTCACATGTTACTCAATGCGGCTTTGCTGAATCACCTGAAAGTTCGGGACTTCAGTGTATTTATTACAAACAGATGTTATAATATCAAAATGAATAACATAACAGTAAGCTATTACATAACAGTAAGCTCACAATTGTTACTGAAGCCACATAATTATGAGAGATCAGTTGAGAGCACGGAATTATGGTACATAACAAAATCATATCTTTATTTTCAGGCATTTTTCTATTTTACAATATTAAAAGCAATACTTTCCCAACATGAAGATTTTTAGAACTATCTATCACCAAGCTATCAATATAATGCTCTCAAACTGTTACTCGATCTGCAATAGGCTCTGGTGTAAGGTTATCTCAACCAAATAGCCACAATATTAGGATAAACAGTTCCAATCATTAATAACAACGGAAAAACTGAAGTGCAAATGCATCATCTATTATATGAATATAAATTCGCTGGGCTACATAGCTTACGCTTTTGCAATTTTCGTGTAATTTTAAGCTTCTGCTTCGACTAACAAAGAAAAATATCACATGATTTCCTTTACTCATCATCTTCTTCTTCCAAGCCTAACTGGCCATACTTGGATTTTTTGGAGGGCGGTGATGATTGATGGGAATCAAAAGCTCGTGAAGCAGCAGCCATCGCAAGCACCGCTAATCCATCTTCCGTACTTTCACCACTTGACTGCCTCGAAAGTAAGCCAACTGAGGGCTTATTATTGTTCCCCGCTGCACTTAGTATAGCTTCACTGCAACATATATTTCTATCAACTGAGTTGAAGATTTTGAAATTAACAATTATTTCAGTTCATGAATTTTTTTAGTTATAAGGTTTTTACGTTTTAATGTGCCATATGCGGAATAATTGGTTCCACTGTTATTATAACACTGACCAAAACAATAAATATTTTTTAATATTATAAATATATCTTTATATTATTCTACATCATCTACAGCCACAATTTGTACCATGTTTTCAATAAGGGTTCACTACTCATTTTTTTAGAACACGTATTAATTTCCACAACAGAGAATAAGGTACCTTTTTTTATTTTTATCAACAGATCCCGTTGCTGCACGTCGTTCAGAGGCCAATTTCTGACCCATTGCTGGTTCTTCAACAGTTTGCCAAACAGATGTCTCGAGCCTTCCAATTATTTCTGGAAATTTATTTGAAATATTAACTGCAATTACTTGCAATAGTAGAATACAAATTAATCACAGCTTCATTTCTTAAGCGATAAAGATTTCAAAATAATTAACTTAACTTTAGCAACCTTGCAGAGAAATACCGATTAGAATATGCATAAAGATCTCCTGCTTTCCTCTAAGGAATTAGCACTATCAATTTTGCACAATGATTTTAAATTCTAAACGATTTCACATCCAATTATTAAGAAAACCAGCCTACGTGACTGAAATTATAAATCAACCTCCTAATTTACCATCAGCTTCATCCTCCTTATCCTCAGATGCTTCTAAGTCAGCAGCTATACTAGCCACTGCTGCTGCTGTTTCCAGAGTCTCGGCTGTTGATAGCGCCCTTGGTTCAGGTGTTATACGGGGTCGGCAAACTACCGGCCTCGGAATCTCCTTAAAAAACATTAAAATCACATATGTGTTGTAAATAAACACCCAAAATACATGGAAAGAAACAGTGAAATGCAACCTGTCGAAATGTCGTAAGTGGATAAGAAGAATGCGATTGAACTCGCGGAGCAGTATAAGACAATGAATCAATAGCAACAAGCCGCGACCGTGCATTTCCTGAAATATTTAAGCTATAAATTTATTTTAACAAGGGTGGACATACATTGATAAATACATGTGGCTTCGAGAAATGCTTTCTAAACTGAAAATATGATAGGTATGTAAATAACCCCAAACTTAATAAAGACGTAACCAAATACAATATGAGAAGCTTATATCAATACTGAAGTATAAAAGATATAAAATAAAATTTTTCTCAACAAAAACAACTATACCTTCAAAAAGTATCAATAACAAAAAATCTTATATGGAAAGTATTATAAAAAATATATGACAGTCAAAATGGTAAGAATAAAGAATTGCGAACAGCTAAAACTCCGGAAATGAAATGACAGTGAAAGTATAGCCCTCAGCGTTGAATTAAAAATTCAAAACGAAATTAAAAAAGCATTGATCAAAACGGTTACACAAGAACATTTGAACAGTCCGAGTGCATGAGTCAATTATAAATAAATTTTTCTATTGAAACGGCAAAGAATATTTGATGAAGAGTCTAAAAAAGTGATTTAAAAGAAACTCACCACTAATAAATTGTCGTTCATCACGTCGCCGGAAATAAGGACTAATTCTGGATGCTGCTGCATTTGTCGGTCTATAATTGTTCAACTAAATTAGATATTTTTATGTATGTTCCCAAATTTTTAATTTACATATTGTAAATCTCAAACATCTTTTCCTTATTGCTCGAATTGTGCAAGTTAAACTTCTTATTAAAGAAAACAATAGAATGGAAGCAGAATAAAGATCATCGAAACTTACTCGTTTTTCTCTACCTTGCAATTACTTCCTCAAGTTAAAAAAAATACCGGTTAGAGTAATCCATAGGTAAAACGACATTTGCTGGTGCTCGCCTTATTCTACTGTCCAATGAAATGGTACTACGGTTACGCCAGTTCGGTAATGGGCGAGAAGCTCCTGCATAAATGTTTGCGTATCATAAATATCATTGTTTAAAGCAAACAAACAACAAACATAAATGTAAATTAATGAGGTAAATCAGAAATCAAATTTTTTTCCAATATTTCAGATCGTAATAATTTCTTGAAATAATGATTTCAACCTACCCACAGTAGCAATGTAGCGTGAAGGTAAGCGTACCGGATGGCCGGGTGCAGCAGACGATGTGTCTGTGCGAGTTCGCAATACGATCTATAAAATCATCTTTCAACTCTCGAGAGGGTGAAATATCCTATTTTCTTCAAGAAGAGAAAAAGTTACTGGTCTTTGCATGACGGATCTAGAAGACGCAGATGTTGAATTCATTGATACTGGTGCAACAGGTGCACTACTTGTTGATCCCAGTGATATCATTTCAGGAGCTTCAATTGCCGACCTATTGACTGCCGTATTATAAACAGTTCTGAAACGTATCGCATGATAGCTTTAAAGACTAAGGATTGTGCATAATTGAAAAACATCGATATATATCTATTTAATTCTTTCATATCATAAAATTATTCTTTCATATTAACTTGAGTTCAAATGACTGTGTTTACTGCAATTTATTGATGAAATTTGAATACGCAATTTCATGCATCGGCTAAGTATATAATGCAGTTGTAAACACAGTGCAAAATGAAAATTTATAAGCACACTACTGGGAATTTAACACCTACATGAATTTATTGTTAGACATCAGTAAATTCATGTAGGTGCCAAATTATCATGATGTAAACAGACATATTTTTTGATAAGGAAGTTCTAGAATTCTATAAACGCCTGCATTTGATCTGAAAGAAACAACTATATTGTAAAAAGTTCTCGAAATCAGTATTACCTTCTGAATCCCATCTTAGGGGTAAAAGTCGTAGTGGGAGTTGCAATTCTTCTAGAAAACTGTGATGCTGACGCTGCTGCTCTGGTTGGTCCACCACTCAAAAGATCTTGCACCATTGATTTTGATAGCTGTTCTTGTGAGCGATATATGGAGGGGCTTAACATATTACCTGCAAAAAAAATACTCTAGAATAAATTCTGATTTGAACTTACTTATAACAATGGATATTAGAAAGAAATGAATACTGATATGGAATCATCGAAATACTAAGGGTATTGACGTACGGCGGAATACGTTTGCAGACAATTCGAACAAACCGATGTGACAAAGCTACAGATAGCTGGCTGAAGATACGCATTTCAAACTATAGGCATTTAATCAGTTGACCAATGGTTTCAAATTAAAGTCTATCGAAACTAACCGCCTAAGTAATCCCTTACGTCTGATAGCGAATATCGAGTTCCAGCAGTTCGTCTGGAAATTATGAATTTCATTGTTTGGTACATTAACGGTTTAGCAAACAATGGAGAAATATTTTCACAAATTGAGTTTAGTTCAGAGGTATTCAGCTGAAGTTAATAAATTTGCTGGAAGTACCAATCTATACAGCAGACCTTATTTTAGTTTTGGAAAAATTCTCAGTTGTAAACGGTCTAGTTCGAGCACAAGAATGAAGATCTTCATCTTGCCATGACCTGTGTATTGATACACCATGCTGCAGCAATATATCTCCAGAGTTCCTAGAATAGAAAAGAGGATGATTGAAACACAGTGTAAAGCTTACTAAAGATTTGGAAATTTATATTTGAGACAAATGAAGGAAGGAAATATATTTATAGTGAGGGGTCACGGGCTGGTCCTACTGTTTTATTACTTCATTTCGACTTTTCTTTGCTATTATTGAATATTTTAGCTCCCTATAAGTGACAACAAATATTAAATCCTAAAAGACTTATTAAATTAAAAATTAAAGTAACAGAAAAGCATCAAAAACAGTATTACATCTAAGCAAACACGTGGTATGTAATCAAACAAACTTTACGGTTCCCTTAACTGGCGTATTTATTTTTACATCAGTTCCATTTTTCTCATCTTTTCTTTCATCAATGACAACAAATTTTACTGGCAAGTTCTTATTTCCTTCATCGACGTTTCCTACAAGTTCAAATATTTCTTTTATTGTACAAGGAAAAATCAAAGATAACGATTTTCTGATAAATAATGAGAACTATGGGAAAAAGCACTGATATGAAATACTAAAATGTTTGAATATGATCGAAAAAATGAAGCAATTGTTAACTACCCTATAACAACAACTATACAAACTGGTAAAAGGTGTCAATATCACGCATGAATAAATCTATAATCATCGATTCACGGACACAATACTTCTTTTTATTTAAAATCTTTATGTTTAAAAGGTTCTTACATTAAAAAACAGTGTCAACTGTTTGCAATAAATCACTAAATTTTAAATAATTAAACAAGCGAAATGAACGCAACTGACCTCCAACATTAACAGTAGCAGCAGAAGGATCTGCCAACGACTTCAAATCAGATCTTACATCATTTTGTATCTAGAAGTCACTTCAATGACGTAAAAACACTTACATGCATTGAAAATAATTGAAGGCTAAAGAATAAAGGCTTGTATAATTTTTGATCGGAAGCGGTAATTTGGAACAAACAGACGTATGCAAATAAAATGAATTCTAATGCTTACTAAAACCCAGACTTGACGAAGCAGAACGAATCAAAAGAAATTAGTTCTTCATCCCTATACAAAAAACCCTATATGCAATGAAATAAATAATTCAGTATTTCCACGTTACTTCTCAGGAACTTCTCGGACAAATCGGAGTAAATATCGTACCTGACTAACAGGGCGGACACCTGATGTGTTATTCAATGGAACTACTCCTTTCTGCACGGTAATTGTTTTCCAGTGTTCAATAGTATTGACTGAATTCCTTCTAGCTGGAAAAATCTCTAATTTTAATAACTGAAAAATGAACTAAATAATACAGATCATGATATTAAAATATCTTGTAAAAAATGGCGCTGTAATAGAAATGACGATACATATGAATAGCCGCAAAACGATCAATCAGAGTTGTAAGAAATTATATTATATCTTAAAGTTATCAAAATTGGGAATATACGATGGACGAACGCAAAAGATGTTTCTGAAGAAAACATGGTGCATTTCTGGGAGAAAAACATCTTTAGCTAATATTTGAAAATGCATCTTCCTTTCTTAAGAGATGAAAGAATAAAATATGAGTATTGTAAAGTCTAAAAAAATTGTAAATGATAAGAAAAATGCGCTAACCAATATGTTTGAAACAGAAGTTCAATCCATCACCAAAATCCAAACCCAATGCGCCGCATTCTGTGCAAGGTGCAAAAAGATGTTGTCGACGATCATCATAAATGTCTTGAATCACGAATACCAGTAGAAATATTTAAATTAACAGCAGAGCACATATACAAAATCAAATAACAGATTAAATAGCAAAACGTCAAGTAAGTACAGAGATATATAAATTCAAAGCATATGAAATGCAGTTCGTCAGTAAACTTACGTGCAGCACAGTGATTCAATTTTGGAAGTGTCCAATTCGAACAGCGATGTTCTTTCTCCGTCCCTTCATTTTCATTCTCCAAATAAACATGCATGGGATCTTTTCCAGAATCCAAAGCTTGCTCAATTCGTTTACATAATTTGTTTAATAGTCTTTCAATAATGTGAGAATCATGCTCCACAATCATTTCATCTGACTCCTTGCTTACTTCAGAAATTGGTGCAGTAACTGCTTTGCAACACTTGTCATTTGACAGAACGCTGTTCTGAATATCAAATGTTTAAAAACAAATTATTTTCAGAAGTTGGTATATATTCGACAATGAGGTCTTCCGATCGCTAAAAACTCATGCACTCAGCAAAATGAAATGTATAGATTTTTATATAAAAATTTCTGCAATGCAACTTTTGGAAAAATAATACATTTGCATATTTTCCGGAGATAAAATAGAACTTACTTTAGGAATGAAAACACACTGCGCACTCTTTATGTCATCTGTTTTAAGATAATCTAATTTGTGTTCCTCAGAACCATCCCATTCAAGTCTTGCTTTCAGCCTTCTTAACATGTATTGATTCTTTGCTGAATGATATGAGTGATATTTCCTGTTAGCAAGCTGGATCTCCCGTAAGCGACTATCTTCAATTTTTGTTTTCCCTGGAAATTTCCACCTTTATTTCACACATATGAAATACATAATGAGTAGAGTATTCTGGATTCATTTATTTAAATAACTTCGTCGTCAGAATAGCCAAATTTTAATTCATGAAACACTGATTCCAGAATACCCCACGCAACATTGGGAGGAAATTGAGTGAAATTTTTCAAACGAATACGATGTAATAAGCTCTTAAGAATTTATGTTCATATTCTACCTTTCTTCTGGTCTTCTTCCATGGCTTTGGCGTACGAAACAGTAATCCGACGTACTTTTTCGGCTATTAATTTTCGCAAATCACGAGTGACAGACAATTTTCGTTCAAGAGCTGTTAATTGACAGCGAACTACTTCTTCATCAGTCCAAACTTCGGCATTCCTGTTTAAATACCAATTATTCATCGACGATTTCCATATTAAGAATGAATATACAATTGTGTACAATGTTTGATCGCATTTAAAAAAAAAAAAAAAAAAAAACGCATAAATAATCAAAGAGCTCGGTAAAGAACCAAATATTACTTCAAAGGATCTTCGTCATCGTCATCCAAAAGAACATCATTATATAAATTTTGTTCTGCATATGGCCAATCTTCCACCGTTATCAGTGTTTCATCATCAGTGCTGAAAGGTTGTTTTTGATTGTTGATATAATTTTCCGAACTTTGTTGCATATCAAAGTTAGATTTATACAAAGAGCAGATTACCAAAACTTTCAAACAATAAGTTCTGTAATTAATGGATACAAAGGCTCACATCATAGATATGTCTTTCGGTTTATTGAGTAGAGTTTTTTCAATACGATGTTGTTCCGCCATAGCGTGTTGTTCCAGTTGTTGGAAGAAATGAGTATGCTTAAAAATAATCAAGAATAGGAGCCTCTCCTGTTTCAAATTATTTTAGCCAGCATTTCCATGCAGAATAATTTGATATACTTAAAACTTTACTAAAATTATTAAAATTACTCAGTCCCTTAGCACACTGTGTCTCTAAATGGAGATATAGCTATGTTAACGATGTAACGAGTTTCTTAAAAACATCAACCGATAAATCATACCACTTCGCAGAAACCTTCCAGTGTTAACTCTGAAGATCGGCGATAATTTTTACATGCTAACTGCGTTCGACGACTAACATATGCACAGCGTTGCATGTAAGTTTCTTTTTCACTCTCATCATCATCAATTCGATACTTCCACTTGCGCCGGCTTAAACGAACTCTTCGGCTTCCCTCGCTCTCTTTCTGTTTTATTTTCTAAAATAGGATTAGTGAAAAGTTCAAGACTATTTAAGACTCATGCACTCATATGATAAGCTATGTAAGATGAGGAATTTCCATAGTAATTACCTTACAGATCGCAGACAGAGTGAGGTCATCATGCAATGCGTGTCCAAACTTTTCATCACCTGTCTTCGTTCCCATCACTGCAGTAATTTCTAGCAAACAAAACAATTCATAGAGAATATACAACAAAGTAAGCACAGTTTACCTATAAAGCAAAAACCTAACCAACAGTATGCTAATAAGCATAGTCTAGATAAGGATGAATAATAAAAAAGAAAAATGGTATACATATATTCCTCAAACCTGAATTTCAACTTGAATTATCAGATAATGAAAACAATAATGCAAAAATTTTCTTCTTACCTTTCTCTCACCTCTTACACCTCTTCCTCTCTTTGTAGACAATAAACAATTAAAAAAACATACAATAAGCAAAGCGGCTTCTGCTTATATACGAATAATTTTTATGTTTTTTAAATGTTTATTCTGGAAATTTGTGAAAAAATGTAAATTTACAAAGATAAAAGCAAAGTCAGATTGGCAAACCAAACACAAAACAAAGGGAAAGTTTATATATATATCAACACTTAAGCTACATTAATTTCAAAGTAAAACATATTATCCGTTTAAAGCAGTATACGATCCATTTTCAGCTTTAGCCATGCCTAAGAACACGCACACCTTGTGTTGAAGCCAAGTTTGATCACCGCCATGTTCAAATGAACTGCTACAATTATTATACTTCACAATCAGTACCAATTTTCTGTCCTCGCCTTCAGTTGCGTGAACATTTAATCTTATACCAATGCGATGCCGTCGTCTGAACACAATCAAACTGAAAAGAAATTTTGAGCATGAGAAACCTTATTTCTGTTGAAAACACAAACTCTGTAATAAAACAAATCTGCAACATCAGGAAATCACATTAAAGGAAATAGAATGGAAAAGCTTGTGCTACACTTTCAGTTTTAGCTCCCTTCAGTGAATATTTTGGATACTACAAATATTCCAATAATCAAGATACTCTATAACCAGGAAGAATATAAAATGTATTCCAATGTTACTAAAAAGGATCATATCGGATAAAATAACCAACCCTTCAGTTTCGTTAGCAGATTTTTCTAGTGTTTCATCCCATTCCATCGTATCATCTCTGTTTGGTACAGATAACTCAATCATAGGAGAATCGCACTATAAGATATGCAGATATCTTCAAATATGAATTGTGTGCATTATCATGCTTACATACTATTTCGATGCAACGAGTCAACAAGCTTACACAGTGAAAGATAGAAAGTTGCATTATTTACCTTAACATATGATTCATCTTCATTTGTATATGGAAAAATTATAATGCGTGCAAGAGTGGCGGAGAAATTGGATATAGTGAGAAAAATCGGACACCACTGATTGGCTACAAGAGATGCTTGGCGTGATAGACGAATGTCAGGAACATGATTTCCAGCCAAAACCTAAACGAACTCAACAAAATTATTAGTAAGAAGATTCGGCATGACGATGATATTCCTCTGAATTTGGATGTGATAACTGAAAGCAGCTGATCGTGGGATACTCGTCTTCACTGATATCTTCCAACTTCTTCTGAAATGGACTGTATGCTACCTGGATTTTGAATTTGATCGAAGTAGGACTATATTCTCCTTTGCATAAACTGTGTTCGCATTGTTTGCAGCGTATTGAATGACGTCCAGCAAGAGGTGTTCTGATCGGTAAGAGAGGTCGTCCGTTAGCAAGAGGTTGTTTCGCTTCTTGCATCAAAGTTGCGATGCTTCCTACGTCTACAATAGGTGAGTGATCAGTATAACACAAAAAACATTTTAAAATGCTGAACTGTATGAATAGAAGATTTTTTTAATGACTTATGTATGCCATTAATTGGAAAAGACAGCCTTTATCAAATGGTAAAGATTTTTCAATGCGATAAAACATGTATACAGGTGATTGAGAAAAATTTAAAAAAAAAAACGAATATAAAGCTGTACCGTCCTTGACCGCTGATTGAAATAAGTGAATAGAAAAAGATATAAAATATATGAGTCATAAAGTACCTATTTCATGCTCGTTAAAGATGGAATTATCCAACGGTGATACATCGTCTGTAGGTTCTAATACGGGAAAACTTTTTTCAGTTTGTTCAGCTAACGCTGCTTTTCGTCGGTTGTACATTGTCTGCAAACCAAAACGATCCAAAAGAACGGTACCGAGGTTTGATCTTCTACAAACATTATCAACTTTCATAATCGTATATATGTTCGGCGAAGTTAAAACTGTGAAGAAGTTAAATTAATTTTCTTCAATACTTAACTTATAAATTGTTCAAGAAATATATAATTTCATATCCCTTACCTTTTAGAATATTTATGCCGTTCACGATCAGCCTTCTCGACAGCTGCGTAATTTCTCATTCTTTCTAAAAATGCAGATAGCAGCTGCTCATCTTCAAACTGGTACTGTGGCCAAATTGTTGATGAAGTGGAATCGGGTATACCCGAATCCGTCGTCGTCCAACGGCACGTATTGCATGATAAATGATAAGTTTCGTTGGATGTTCGTATAACAGCGCTCACTTCTGTAATACTGATAATACGCTAAGTTACTAAAAACAAATATTTATATTCAAAAATCAATTGCCAAAATCCGCGAAAACTTACAACTCATAATTTCAATATGGACCACTACCAAACTTAGTTCTATATTTTAATTACAAAGTACCGCAAATTGGACACTGATAGCAGTTGGAGCACCGATTCCTTTTTTGTCTTGCTTCGCCGGTCGATACGTTGTCGAGACAGCAGGGACAGAAAGACGTGTCCATTTCTTGGCTTACGCATAACATACATCGAATGTTGGAACAGTGTCGACAAAAGTATAAACGATTCAAACTTTCCCATTCACCACAGCTACACTCATACCTGACATGATCAATAGAAAATAAAGCTGTCATATCTCATCACCTGAAGAAAAATCACTCCGTCATTGGTTAATAAATTTATCTAGTCCTCTCTTTCTATTCGCACATCATTTAACTCAAATAAAGCGGAATAGATAGCGACAGAGTAGAAAAAATTTCATCCTATCGAAATCTTCCTCATTAATAATCCTCCCAAAAAGACATACACGCATGCACAGATAAACAAAAGAATTGTAAAGGAAAACAGGAACGGAAGGTAAGCGGAAAGAAGCAATGTACTAACAGGCAAAATACCCGATCTATTTTTCTTAACACACCCTGCTACTCCAAACACGCTTCCAAAGATAGTACCTGTCTCAAATCTCACGGCATGACATTATCTTCACGGCCTGTCGCTCACATGCAACCGTCAACGTTAAATCCAGTTTTCCATCGTAGATGAAGATTTTGATATTTGTTGTGTGGAAGAGACTGTGAGAGATTCCTACCCAGGAAGGCTAGTCTTTCGAAGTTGTCTTTTAGGAAATGATTTTGGAAGAAGTGAGGAATAATCTCATGAGACCATAATAATGGACGAGTTTGTTTTCTATATTTCTCATTTCATTTGTCATTTAAAATAATCTGGTGGCATGCGCTGTGCAATAGCAATTAATGTGCATTAGCGAGTGTTGCATTGATGACAAGATGACAAGCATGCAATACAGTAGCGATGGGAACGAAAAAAATAGCAAATGTAAATGTTGTTGTTAAAAAGCGCAACGTCCCCTGGATTATGTATCAATGAAATGTGAATTTCATCGATATTTCCTTCTGTCGAGTGTGATGATACATCTATGTGATTGGTCGAGATTTCTTAGATACCATCAACTTTAATTCACGAAAGATATTTCTGATATCCAATTATGTAAAATAGTCTCAATAATTTTTATCACTTTACATAACTTAAGAGAATGCTTGTGGAAGGATTATATCAAAGGAAAAATTCCATGATGTAACATTTTTCGTTTAGATTTAGTAAGTCAAATTCGAAGGAATGTGAAAAACTATTAAATGAACTGCCTAATTTCGAGCAGATACTTGTTGATAATTGAAGGAGTGGATGACGTTATCAAAACGGAATCATCGTAAACATCTACTGTTTCATGTCAGATATTTTACTTCTTTTTTCCGGAAGATGACCTTGTGGAGTAGGAATCATTTTTGCTATTTTTGAATGAGCGTGAAGAATTCGCTGTTAATGCGCTTATTTGCTTTGTACGATAGTGTTGTTAACCTCATGTTTGGCATATGCAGTGCAGATAATTATGACTTCCTTATAGAATTTTAGCTGTAATAAACGATCGCATGTGCCGCGGTTTTGAGATATTGTATTATCTTTTTTTTTAATTCATAAGTTCGAAGTCATTTTTTATGCTTCCCTAATTAAATGTTTATTTAATTATCTTAATTTTCGTAGGTCATATGATCTCATGAAACTAATGAATGTTTTAACTCAGCAATTAATGCATTTAATATCATACAAGTACATCAAATTATATATAAGAAACGTTTAATAGGTTGTTCGAAAATGCCAGCTGCTAACGTGTTACAAATTACCTGTTATGCTTATGCATTAACTGTTGACATTTGCAATGATATTGCTATTTTTTATACTTGTTGAAACCATTTTCGAGAATTACTTTTGAATACCATGCTTATTGTATTTTTGAAAGTAGTATTACCATTAAACAATTTTATCAACTTCAAGAATAAGACAAAGTTCTCCATATCAACGCCTTCACTGATTCTTAGTGTAGTTGTAGTGTTCTGATTTTTATTCGAATTATTCATATTTTCGTCGAATATTTTGAAAGAGTAAATTGTTTACGGAACTGTTTTACCCACGTGTAATTTAATAATATTGCGGATATATTTTTAACTATTCTTTTAGTGAAGTTGATAAATTTTGTCTTCGAATAAATGTTGCATGCCGTATCCTAAGTCCTTGAGATTGTGGGACAAAAGTTTTTTAACGTTTCATTGTGAAATATAACATAGTTGCTATAGTACAAAATTCATTCTCATTTGTTTTGATATTTATTGATGTTGAAGAGCTGAAATGGAGTTAGATGAATCGACGAAGAAAGCACTGAAAGCTATTCCGCTGATGAGGACGAAGGCTGGACCGCGGGATGGCGATTCATGGGTTCAGGTTTACATTTTCTCAAAGTTTAATTTAGATGAATAGTTTGTTCTCTTGACGAATGAAATTTCGTATGTTATTGATAATTGCAAAATGTTATGTTCGTCAAGTGAATTTAGAAGTAGTAATTACAAGTAATGTTTTAATGGGAAAAAGTAAAACTTTAACTTCTAGAGGTTAAAAGAGGAATATGAAGCTCTGATAGCTTTTATCAACAATAACAAGGCTGCAGATTTGGACTGGTTCCGTTTGGAAAGTAATAGCGATGGGACAAGATGGTTTGGTAAATGCTGGCATTATCATAACATGCTCAGGTATCTTAATTCCTCAGTAGAATAGTACTTAATTGGGAACTTGATTATCTTCGTCCGTTATTGTTTTTTGGTTTTAGTAATATGAATGAAATTTTATTCTTGTCATTTCCCAAAATATACATATATAAGAGAGGTCGATTTTTTCACTTCAGATATGAATTCGATGTTGAATTTGACATTCCGGTAGCATATCCTACTACTGCACCAGAAATTGCATTACCCGAACTGGATGGCAAAACTGCGAAAATGTACAGGTATTAATCTTCTAATCGCTTATTTTCTTTATCACCGTTTCGAGTTATTTTTATTATTGTTCTTTCATGTTATTAGTGATAGATATGACACTGAGTAAAATAACAGTTAAAATTAAGGATATTCTAGACTTTATTTTTCTTTTATATGTTAGATTTTAATTTTATTTACATCTTTTGAATAAAATTACTTTAGTTTGAAAACAACCTAATTATGAGATATTCTGCTGTAAAATCATGATTTCAGATTAACTTCAAAATGGATATTGTATTATTTTTCATGCGCATGTTACTAACTTATTATTTATAATTCAAGTCATAAGTTATATAAATGCTTTAAAAAACTTCCATAACTGATTCTATGCAAGGAAAGTATGTTTTTTTATTTTATATTTTACGGTACTTTAGAGGAGGACGAATTTGCCTATCGGATCACTTCAAACCGTTGTGGGCTCGAAATGTGCCGAAATTTGGAATTGCGCAAGCGTTCTCATTGGGATTAGGACCTTGGTTAGCAGTGGAAGTTCCAGATCTAGTTGATCGTGGTATGATACAACCGAAAGCTGCATGATATATCGTGTCAAAACAAGATATTTGAGATCAGATATTTGAAAATGCATTCAATTTTTTTTTCGCTTTTAAGACAGAATGGAACCATGTCTTCTAGAAAGTCAGGGTAAGGATGGATTTATACCTTAGCTGATACTCGGTCTTCCTTTATTTATTTAATTGATTATGTTTTATCTTATTTTTTTTAAGACAGGATAGAATCTTTTTCTTATAAATCTTTTTTTGGAAGGAGAAATTTTAATTTGCATAAGTTTTGTTGTTTTTTCATTGCCTTATTATGACTGTCATTCTCACGCATCGCTAAGTAATTTATTTTAATTAACTTTTAGTATTTTTAATTTGTTCCTATCACTCTCATACATTGATCAGTATTTTTAGTTTGTAGTAAAATTTATAGGATTTTTAACTTTGAGATTTATGATTTTCAATGAAAATGTTGACTTTTTATCGATTTACATTGTGCTCACTATCTTAATATGCTTCTGTTCTATACTGTAAATGTATGTAAAATTTTTTCACAGAATGGGTAAATCTGATAATAGAAAAATTTTACACACGAAAGGTAGGAAGTACCAAACGAAATGGGAAATTGACGATTTTTAGGGTTTCATTAATAAAAAATGAATGAATATTAAATGCAAATTTCAGCATGATATTTAAGGAGGAGGCAAGGATATGTATTTGAGGTATCAATCTAGCTTGAAATTTCCATCGTCAGAACTTCATAAAATGTTAACACCACATGCAGTGGATCTGCCATTATTGCTTGGGCCACATTTTCGATTGGAATACATTTGGGCCTCTAGGGGAAGTTTATAATATTAGTCAATATTCTGTTTAATCTTCACCAGTTAATTAAGTTTTGCATTTCACACTGCTAAAATTTCAACTGCAAAACGTATTTCTAGCATTTCATTCTGTTGTCATTCACAGATAACATTCATCAATAAAATGAAAGTTTTGCATATTCATTGCTTACACCGTTCTTTATAATTTAAGTGAAATGCCATCATCGTATATCTTGATTATTATAATGAAATTGAGGAATTAGTATATCATATGCAAATTATTTCATTGTTTGCTATGAAATAAATATCCATTTATTTGATAGAGAAAATTGACTTTTTTTATAGAACGCTGTACTATTCTTTAAAAATTTACTCGATTAAATTCAAATTAACTTCTTATTTTAACGAGTAATTTACAAGAGATTGAGAAGAATAGTAATGATATAATCAATCACAGCAATGAAATGGATAAATTTTAACAGTTAAATTTTCTCATTTACTAAAATAATTTTCTTTTCAGACAAGGTGGCTAATTAAGTGGTAGTTTAATAATAATGGAGAGTATTAAATTTGATCGTACAGTGGGCGTTTTGAACATCGCCCAGAAAATTCCATAAAGTTCTGCGGATATATATATATATATTCAGACCAAATTTAAGATCCCACCCAATCTTATTTTTTCATAACAATCATTTCTGTATTCAATATAGCACTGAAAAAACATGCTCTGATTTTTTAAGCAGTGGAAAGGAAGACTACGATGCTTGGTTGTAACATTCGATAAGTCGGGTCGTACAAGCTTAGGATCATAACCGACTAATCTCGTAGTACCGCCGTATAAATTTTACGGTGATCATAATGTAGTGATCGATGAAGAATGAAATTCGTGTATCTGAAAACTCTCCTAAAATTACTTTTCATTTCAAATATTTTTTTTTCTTCCCTAAAAAAATAATGTCAGAATTAAATAGTAATAAGACATTACTTCATTTCATAAAAGTATTTTTTTACTATAATATAATATTGTATCTTTGAAATGATGGATACAAATTGGAATGTGCTATTTACTTATGATAAAATAGATGCCTTCAGATATGGATGATAAAAATATTCAAGAATTTTTGATGTAATTTAGACTTTTTTCTTACATTTCTGCGAATTGTAATTTATCCTCACAAAGTTCTGTTTTCTTTACTTCTAATATCACTTATCATAAAAATATTCCTTGAAAAACGATATAAGTTAAGATAAATAATTATCCATTGTAATGATTTTGCGGTGATAATAATGATTCATTGCAGTAACTATTAAATGTAAGACTCAGACAGATCAGAAGTTTTCAAAAGTTTCATCTGATAGTATCTGATAGGCCATTACATTACAAAAGTAATTGTAGTAGCAATACTATTTTCCCCTTCTTTTTCATCCTTTTTTATGTAACAAAGCTCACTATTTTTCCTTTGCTACTTCTGCTTTCGTTTCTCAGGAAAATACTTTTGTTGAATTAAAATGATAGATGAACCTATGAAGACATATGAATTTTAACATATCTAATATTTTTATACTTTTCCTTCCTTGCCATATTTCCGTCAAAATAATTTTCAGTTCAGCCTTTTACATACATCAAAATCACGAAAATAATTCTGTTCAGCATAAGACTAGGAAGCATCAAAAACAACCTTTTGAAATATGCGCTTTGAATTTTATAGCAATGTAAATTATTAGCAGTTACATATGCTATCGATAGATACTTCCTGATTGATCACTTCCTTTATTGTAATTTCTTTAAGAGAAAAAAAAACGCTATCTTTCAATTTTACTCCATCAAAGTTAAAAAATCAAAGCTGCTAAACAAAACATAAGAGAATCTTTGTAAATAGATTGGTTAGAATTTGAAATAAAACCGTTTGATGGGAGAATGAACTTGCAATTTAATCCTTACCTATTTCTCTTCCAATAATTCTCTAATATATTATTGAATTTTGTTCGGACATAATTAATAAAAATTAAAGTATAATAATTTTCATCTTAATTTTCTAAGTTATTCAGTTTTGTTTCTTTTCTGCATTTCTTATTATTACATGTCAATTTCAGAGATTATAAATCAGCTCAAATATTTTTCTGCTGATATTGTGTTATTTATAGCCTGGCATGTTATTATCTCCGAAAAGCTTCTGGAGTTTTTGTAAACTGACCAGCCCAAGAAAATTTTCTGGATCTTTGCCACTAATTTTACTGTATATCAGGTTTCAAAAACCATTCCAAACAACACAACTTTATTTGAAAAGACCGAAACTTATCAAATAAATTCATATTGGATTGATCCAAAAGAAAATTGCATATATGTTGAGGGTCACCTCATACTTAACGTTAAATTAATCAATTACAAATACTTCCTGGGAAATGAAGTAACACTGTGATTGACAATAAAAATTATGTTAAAAGTGGAAAGTCAAGATATCTGTTTTATTAATTATATTCCATCTAGATGGAAAATCATCTGCCACCCATTTCGGTTATCTTTAAAATCGTGGCATAGCTCGAACTTCGGCAAGTGTTCGATCAATTTTTTCCAGGAAGCGATCTTTCGGTCGTGATGTTATCTGGACGAAATTCGAGCAAACAATACGTGAATCCTGCTTACGAACATACGGATGTTCGGCGAACATGTATGGGGTTAATGGAGTACTGAAATTAAGTGTGATGACAAATTAAATTAACATGATTATTTGAGTCAAATTCTCACATCTTACTCATGCTACCGGTTAAATGAAATCTTGGCTAAAATGAATATTTTTGAAAAATAAAGGTGTATTTAGTCGATTCATTAATGTCATTTTGTTTACGGTTCTTATCATCTAATCATGTCTTCAATAACTGATCATGAACTATTTTATTGCTATGTAAATGGAAATTTCTAGATTACATATCGGATCCTTTGTAATCAATAATCATCTGTTTGTTATTCCGTTTCCACTCATCATTGGCTTTCTTTCGATATGATGTATAACTATCCTAAATTAAATTTTGTATTTTACATTAATTTTCACTCGTTAATATCACTTTATTTGCTATTCTTATCATTTAATCATATCAGAAGGAAGCAAATCCTCAATATATCAAAATGTTAGCAATAGTTCCAATATGTCTTAAATGTTTGATATATCTGTTTATTTGTTAAATAAAAATTAGGACGAAGAAATAAGACAGAATAAGAGTAGTCCTCAAATTACTTAGAATTAAATAATTATCACATATTCATTGAATTGATTTATAAGCTTTTTCTTAATGAATTTATCATTTCCATAACATTCACTTTATAGAGCTTACCTTATTTTCGGCATTATAGCACTGGTTCAAGGGTTATTTAAATTGGTTCAAGAAGTGGATAAATTGTTTAACTTTTAATGGAAATAAAAATGTGAGATGTCAAGAAACACAAAATCTTCCAAGGTCGACTGTAAAGTTCATTTATAATATCATTCCAGCAAAATACTTTCCGGAAGAAGTGACAGTATAGTTAATGTACAAACTGATAGTAAATAACAGTTTCACCATAGAATTTTCCTTTTCCAAAAAATTTTTTTCTCTTTTTCACTAAGATATTGCAATATTAGCTGCATTTGTTGTCTCCTTTCTTCGTGACACTAATTAAAAGTGTTTGCAGCTATACAAGACGATTTATTTTGGTTTGCAATAATAATGATATCATACCTTACTTTGGAAAGGTGACGATACAGTTGAAACATAAGTCGAGTTGGTGCTATTTGTGGGATAGTAGGAGGAGTAGGGTAAGTATTCCTCACTTCCTATTAAGCCATGCTCACTGAACATTTTCTCTGACTTCGCTTTCAGGATATCTTCATCGACTTCAAAAATAAAAAAAATGTTAAAATCTCTCCCGAATGATTCATCACCTAAGATGATTAAAGAACAGAATGAAATAAAGTTGATAAATTTTTTTAATGAATAATGAAAACAAAGTTGAATGCAAATATCAATCGCAATATAACTTACAGGATTCATTTAGAGCAGCAGAACCAAGTAGATCATGAACTCGAAGCATACTGTGGGCACTAATCGAGTTATCCGAAGTAGTGGACAATTTTGGCAACTTATTTCCCGGACGGAATATGTTATGGATATATTTTTCAAAATTAATCGCCATTGGCCCATCCGGAAAAATACTACGATTATATTTATCCTCTAAACTTGATGTTGCACTTGGGAACCAGGTTGACTTCGGTAAATCATTCACAGTTTCACCATTCAGGTTACTATCGTCCCTATGGCTATAGTTATAGGTTCCTGTATTGTAATTACTGCCACTGTTTCTGTTGTTTCTGACGGCGTATTTTGACATGTTGCAAAATGAAATCTTCAACAATCACAAACAATCTAGAAATAATTCAAAATAATATGTAAATAGAAGTGACATTTCGAATCGAGCAACAATAGACAAATTCCAGCAATTGAATAAGATAATGTACTGCAGTAGCTGACAGTAGCTCATGAGTTTAAATATCCAACTAAATCGTTGTATATTTTTCGGGCTCTAAACTAAATTTCCATTTTTACCACAGAGATAATAAAATAATTGAAAAATTTTTTAAATTATACCAAACTATTTTCAAGCACTAAATAGTCAAAAAACTTTGTTCGAAATTAAAAATCATAGAATATTTAAAAAAAGGTCCAAAATAAAAAATGGATATTTTCTTTCCTATTTCAACGAAAGATAAAAATAATATAATGCATGACAGAACGATCGATTGTTTTTAATAATATTTAGTTAGGTCAATAAATAAAATACGACAAGTGCGTTGCTTCTCCCTTCATATTTTACAAATCATCAAAATCGATTCACCAGAGATCTCATGATTGATTCCGCAATTTTTGAAACATTTTTATCACAATTCTATATTTAATTAACATTTCTCTTCCTTTGCTTATATGACAATAAGAGTCAGAAAAAAATGAAATAGAACAAATTTCATACGATTTTAAAATAGAAATTTTTAACATATCGCTCCTTTATAAGTTAATTTAGAATTTCTTAATTAAAAATAACAAATATAATGCTAACATTTAGTATTGTTCAAATATTCTTTTAAAAATTTGCAAATGTTGAAGTTTATGGAACTTACAATTGTCCTTCTTAATACACATATAAATATGAAATGCATAATGAAAATTGTGTCTACTCGATCCCTTCATATATTTATCAATCTCATCCTTTCACTCTATCTCTTTCTCTCTATCTCCTTCCCTCTATATATTTCAATGGATCGAGTAAAATTTGCATTTACTAATTGGATAAGTAGTAAATTAAACTAAAAAACAATAGAAAATGATGAAAATCGAACTGATAAGCACTGCAGTCGGTTGATAATGATGAAATTCAAAGAAAAAGTTCTGCAAATTTTCGCAAATTGTGTTTCGCCTTTCTTCTTAATCTTCTCCTGCCCACTACAGAACAGCTGCCTTTAGCCTTCTCCGTCAATGAGCTAAAAATTATTCTATCTGGTTTCTGTCTACCTACATTCTTCTGTCTATTCAACCACTTTGTAACGTATATGCCATACATATACACACAGCTGGCGAGCCTCTTTCATTTGTGGCCAGGAATTGAAGTTTTTGTGAGTTTAGTGAATAACACAGATAAAAGGATCTATTTCTTTCTCAATATTTTCTTTCGTCTTCTCGCAAAAACACTTTGAACTTATACCTTTACAATTTAAAACTATGAAAACAACTTCATAGAAATTAAAACTGGTCATAGTAACTCCATATCTAGCTAAAAAATATCAAGAAATTGCAGGAAAAAATTTGATATTAACAATCAGACATTAGTTTGTATTTTACAACTAGTATATGTATATATATATAATATGTTTCGATGGTCCACAAAATTTTTCTTGCAGTAGCGAAGAAAACGAGACAGTTACAGAATAAGCTAAAACAGACAAGGAACAACGGTGACGAAAAATCAACATCCAGTCTGCAAAAAGGC